TCTTGTGAAGATATACCGTGCAGAAATTCACACAAGTGTAACTGTTGGTTCATTATTCAACAACCAACTACATAGTGGATTTTGAGGACGTAGAAGGATTACCCCACCTTCGAACCTCGTTAAAGTTTGCGTGTCTCTCTCTCTTATCTTTATTCTTACTTGCAATTATATTAACTGTGAAAACTAACCTATCCATATTAATTACTGCTCACTCCACCCACCAAATTCCGCACACAATCTAAAGTTCACAAGGACTCTAGATTAACACTCATTTTCTCGTTTTCAAAAGAAACGAAAAAGATTTTAAACTTGTAACAAAGTCTATTCACCCCCCCCCCCTCTAGACTTTGTATTTCACCACTTTGGGACCACCAATTGGTATCGGAGCAGTCTTCTCACTATCTACATTTAGATTAACGAGAAGCGATCAAAATGGTGAACAATATGGATCACGGTTATTTTTTGAATTCCGAACCCCTATTTCTTAAAATTAATGGCGTAACTGGCTTTGACGGAGAGTGAGACGAAATGTCCTTCACGGGTAAGTTAGTGTATATTTGGAGGTAAATCGGAGTTCATTTTAAAAATATGAGGTACCCAGTAGTTAGTTTCTCAAAATAGAGGGTACCTCGGAGTATATTTTAAAAATATAATGTACCGGGCAGTTAGTTTCTCAAATTAGGAGGTACCCATGATTAAGCAGCTCGTATCTGTTAAAAAAAATTTTGATGATACATTGTGCTCGTAAACAGTATGAGGCAAATATTGTACATCCATTGCGCTTACAAAAGATTTTTTTTAAAAAAAGGATTAGGATATTTGTACCAAGATGCAAAAAATAAATATCAAATTTTATGATGGACCTAAGCTCAAACATAGACATGCATATGAGGCAAATAAATATTTCTTTACTACTTAAATTAACATTTACTTTTTTAAATAAAAAAACTTATAAAAAAGATTTTTTAAGTGAGAAGGTCAATAAAATTGATATGCACCCAAGGTGCACTAAAGAAGCACTCAAAATAAATTTTGTATAAATTTTTGGTGTTTTTAAGAATGATTTCCAAAAAGACCTTATAAATTGGAGAGAGAAAATATTGTACAGGACTATATTATCTAGAGATAATCAAATTAATTCTTATATTAAAAATTGTAAATAGCATTGGACTTAATGTTTTAGCATGACTCGAACATTCTACATTGCTCCGTTTAAAAAAATTGATAGTGCGTACTACCTCCATCCTTCACCGATTAGCGGCAGTAGTTACTGAAAGAATTTATGTAACACCCTAATTCGTTCAGGTCTGCATTCTCTTTCAGACTAAAGTATAAATTTGGTAATCGTAAAAAAATTTAAAACATTTCAAATGCTTTTTTTATTTATCACAATAATATTTTTATAAACAGCGGAGTTTTCAATATTGCGGAAGCTTAACAAATCACAATCATAAACATAATTTATTTTTGTTCTTCAATTCAAAACCATCACATCCATTCCGACTATCTCGCCTCCGTCTACCTCCAGGATCACGTCACATCATTCTATTAACTTGTGTGTAACAAATAAAACACACTACACGCTCAGCGTTGAAGCTGAGTAAGCATATCTAATGGGTTGAACATCCATATAAATTGAATCTCAATTCATAAGCAAATCATTTGATATCATGTACATAATGATCAGTTCAGATATTCAATAATAGATATTCAGTATTCATCAATCAACATTCATATTCATCTTTCATATTCAATATTCAGCAATACCCTTAAACTATTCTTAGTCTAAGGTCAATCTCTTTAATGTTTATCAACCCTTAAACGAATTCTAGTTTAAGATAATTAAACTATATTCCAGTTTAAGGTACTCCTAAATAATCTTTGAGCTAGGCCTAGTATAAGATAAAACAGGTTTTCAATATCTTAAACTTACCTTCGCTTAAGGCCAATCAGAAACCGAGAGCGTAGTGTTCATTGTTGGGTTGGGTGGTACCCCCAAACGAGTAGGTACTCAAGTTTGGTTCTTGGATCCCGTACGTACGTTTTTACCCTGGCCACCGAGCATCATACCCGCAATGCCTAACTTAGATGGGTATATCTTAAAGTTATTCTAGATACCCTTCAAAATCAACATCATTGTTCATGTACTGTTGTCTGTTGCCGTTGCTAGGGGATGGCAGGTTGATCAATTGGATGTTAATAATGTCTTCTTGCATGGGGAACTTACTGATGAAATTTATATGAAGATTCCTCCAGGTTATACCCGTCTTTACCCAGGGAAAGTATGCCGCCTTCGTAAGTCCCTCTATGGCTTTCGGCAATCCCCCCGCAGTTGGTTTGCTAAGCTTCGTTTGGCATTACGACGTTATGGCTTCCGTCAAGCCCATGCTGATCATACTCTTTTTGTTTATCGTAGTGGTCCTGATATGCTGGTTGTTCTTGGTTACGTTGATGACATTCTTGTTGTAGGAAATAATTCTTCTCTCTGTACTACTTTCAAGAAATATTTGGATGAATGTTTTAATCTCAAGGATCTTGGTCTTGTCTCTTACTTCCTTGGTATCGAGTGTGCCCGTTCCCAGGCAGGGATGCTGTTAAATCAGCGAAAGTATGCTCTCGATATTCTTCAAGAGGCTAATTTATCTGGTTGTAAGCCTGTTCATACCCCTATGCCTAGCAACCACAACTTGTCTCGTTCTACAAGTGCCGAGCTACGTGACTTTACCAAATATCGACGTCTTGTGGGACGACTACTGTATCTGACTATCACGCATCCTGATATCTATTATGCAGCTTGTCACAGTTTATGCAGGCACCTCATTTAGATCACTGGAATGCTGCCCTGCATGTACTCTCCTATCTAAAGGGTCACCCCAGTCAGGGAATTTTGTTACGTCGCGATGGTGATCTTACTCTTACTGCTTTCTCAGATTCTGATTAGGCAAGTTGTCCGTTGACACGATGATCTGTGACTGGTTATTTCATCATGCTTGGCGGGTCGCCAATCTCTTGGCGTACTAAAAAGCAAACTACAGTCTGCCTTGTTCATTCGCTGGCTACGTGGGCTTCTTGTTGCTTTGGATGTGCCGTGTTATGCAACTCTAAAACTATATTGTGATAACAAATCTGCCTTGTTCATTGCTGCTAATCCAGTCTTTCATGAACGGTCAAAACACATTGATATTGACTGTCACATCATGCGTGAATGTATTCAGCGTAATCACGTTGTCACAGCTTATGTGCCTACATGTTTTCAGACAGCTGATATCTTCACAAAAGCTTTACCGGGTCCTCTGTTTCAGTCTCTCTTATCCAAGCTGGGCATTTTTTATATTCATGCTCCAACTTGAGGGGGAGTGTTAGCCTATGTAGATATTTTGTATATTATTTTTGTTGGTCTCCTCGTTTGTATCACCGGTTAATGTTTATATTCTCTTGTATCAATGAAACACCAGCACGGGTTTTTACATCAAAATATTTTACAGTATGTGTATGTGTATGTGTATGCATGTGTATGTGTATGTGTATGTGTCTGTGTATGTGTATGTGTATGTGTATGTGTATGTGTATGTGTATGTGTATGTGTATGTGTATGTGTATGTGTATGAATGTGTACGTCTACGTGTATATGTATGTGTGTGTACATATGCAAATGTACATGTATATATGTACATTTACATATATGTGCAGATGTACATGATCGTAATTGGTAATGTAAATTCATATAAATCTTATTTCGAAAATAAAAATATGAAACTCCTATTTTGGTATATTTTTAATTTTTACTCCTCTTTTCATTTTTTTTTCCCTTAGAATATTCAAGAGTAATGCTTGTGCACTAACATATTAGCATTCTCAATAAGCAAAAGACCAATATGATGTGTTACAGGGGCATATATAGTGTTTTGCGCATGCGACTTAGAGCATGAGAATAGCAAGGTAAAAATGGAATACCACACGTTGATGTGCAAAATTTAAACTAATAAAAAATAATCCAGTCATCGTGTGACAAGTGAGAAGAGTGACATGTTCTGCAGTGACAAGTCATTTTTTTTCACTTTTTACATTTTTTTGATGTTCTTTAATTATTAAAAAATATTTTACTTATTTTTTTCAAAAAAAAAATAGACGCACTCTTTTAAAAAAATACTCCCTCCGTCTAAAAAAAAATTTCTCGGTTTGACTTGACATAGAGATTAAAAAAATTAAAATGTATAAAGACTTTCTATGTGTTACCCTTAATGTGATGGAATAAAGTGAATAGTGTAGACTAAACATAGGGATATAATAGCACATTCATTAAACGTTTTTTGCCAAAGTAGAAAATGCGAAAGAAATTTTTTGACAATCCAAAATGGAAAGTGAGAAAAAAATTATTGGAGGGAGGGAGTACTTCTTTCTTGTACCAACAAAAAGAAAAGAAAAGAAGAAGCCACATGGATGCCTCGACGGGCAGGGTTACACACATATTGCCACTCAACGATTTGAAGGGGAGAGAGCTCAGGTAGGAACCACTTCAACTCATGTCATGGCATATTATTGAAGATTGGTTTTCCTGCCTTGTGGTTATCCTATCTGAGACCTAACAAATATATTACGCATACCAGCTATTGCTAGCTTCCTACTCAACCCCTAGAACATGTATGTATCATGTATAGTACAAAACCTAACACTACTGCAAATGTACTAAACCTAACACTTGCCATAAGGACAAAACAGAAGGTTAATAAAAGTTATTAAAAACTAGGTAGTAGATGATTTAACCATTTGGCAGGGCAGGGCAGTAAAATACTCTACACATCTGTACAAAAGTTATCCACCCCTCTGATATGTACAAATCAGCCATAAAGTGCCAACCACAATTAAGCAAAAGTCACAATCTCTGTAGGAGAGTGTACTGTGTTGCCTATTTAATATCTTAAGGAAAGGAAAAATAGAAGAAACAGAAACAGATAGATCGAGAAAAGTTTTAAAAAAGGGCACTGAGATTTGTAGGGTAGGGGACCATATATCTCTACCGGTCCCTCTCCCTCTGTATTTACATCTAGCTTTCATTCTTTGCAGTTTGCAGTAACATGGTTGGTTCCTACATTTTAACCCTCATCTCATCCTCACACTTTGCATTCATTACACTGGCCTTCCACTTCAAAAAAAAAACCCCTTGGAATTTAAATTCATTGCCAAGTATTTAGTGTGTACCATACTAGCCTTAATCCAAGCACACTTAGAGCTCTGGTTAGTTTGGCAACTAGCCTACCCTACGCAGTACGCAAGGACAACCTACGTGAACAACGGGTGTTAATTTTTGTAACAAAAGACTAAAAGCACAACATTCTTTCCCAACTCAGTTAACCATGGATGGATACAACTTTCTGATCCTAATTCTTCAATTATTAGTAATGTTTTTGTAGACACATTCAATATCCAACTATGTATGCATAGTACCCAGGATTGAAAGACAGGGATAACTTGGGGTGAATTGAAGAAAGAGGAACCCTAACATATGTGAAATTCAATCTTTCCCAATCAATTCCAACAGTTACAAAGGGCTGCAAAGAGGGAAAATGAATGGCACATCAATAATCAGAAATACTTTTTAGGAATATGGCTTAGTTTGGTCGATTCGGGGATGTAATTTATCAGCTGCTACAAGTTTTGTTGAGTGAGAGAAGGATGCTTGAGATGATGGAATTGATGAGGGACTTTCAATTCTTTTTGCAAGTTTAAGGAAGTTGTTGAGATATCAATGGCATTAGAAAACAGTAAGAGCAACACCACAATCAATAACATACATAAAGACAGCTCTCTTTCAACTACATTGACTGTTTTTCTCAAGTAAGCAAAACACCTGTTATTTTGCTTTCATGCTGGTTTCAATCCTAAGGAGAAAGAAACAACATCAACATCACCACAACATACCTAAGAACATGCTCAAGGCCTCTATCATATCCAAGGTGACATATTTTGAGAACCATTGAAATATAGAAACTCGTAAAACAAAAACAAAAAATGCACGAACTGTATTGCTTACAAGACACTAAATTCATAAACTTCATTGAAGACCCACTGGTCCGAAAACAGAAACACACAACAGAACTGGAAATAGTTCAGCTCGGGAAGCTCAATCAACCATACATGAAATAACGATTAACAGTTGAATTATTATTTTAACGGGACAAATACAGAAAATGAATAAACCAGGGATAGAAACACCTGAAACTATGCTCAGAATGAATCTAACCACGGGTGGTTGCCGCGCCGTTGACATAGACTCAGTAATATTCCTCTCCAGTCTATCCCTCCAAGATCTCCTGCAGATACTACATCTTTTGCACGAAATCATGACTTCAAGAAACAGTCAAGCATCAAGACCTGCAATTGAATTCAATGTAATAGTGGGCCATGTTTTAAAAGGATGCATCAGTGGGCGCAAAATGAACAAAAGGATGTACCTTGGAGGGAGGAAAAGAGTGAAGCTTGAAAGGGCGAATTTAACGGCGGGAATCAGAGGAAGCAGAGGATGGCCTATCTGAAATGCCATCGTGCTCCTCTTCACCTTGGATTCGTGCAGGAATGCGAAACCCAGACAAATCTCCTACTCCAGTGGAGAATCCCAAACCGGGTAGGGAAGGTGATGGATAAATGGGTAACATTGCTGATTGGTAGTGCTGGTTTGGTTCAACACCAGCGGCAATGGCTATGGCCGATGATTGGTCCATCCAAGCACGAATCGAAGGCGAGTAACTGGACTGAAGGGGTCCCCTCTGAGAAGAAAGATACTGACTCGGCCCACCGAGCAACTGCTGAAATACTGGCTGATGAGGCGAACTGAACAAGAATCCTCCTGTTTCCGCCGATGCAGCACTGCAGGCAGCTGCTTCTCCGCCAGCGTTCCAAGCCGGAAGGTGGTGGTCAGACCAGCCGCCGGAAGCATCAAAGAGGGCTCTATGGCTAGCGGCGCTCTTGTGGTGCTGATGAGGTTCTTGCTGGTCTTGGTGGTGGTGGAGAATGATAGTGGTGGTTGGATCTTGAAATGACTGTAAAGAGAGCCTCAAATCTTGGGTCTGATTGCATGTTCGGGGCAGCAAATCGGACTGATGATGATGTCCGAAGCTTGGGAAGTGCATAGATGAAGAAGAATTTGCCTCCTCTGAAGCTCCCATGGGGAAGAAGGATTTGATGGTGTCAGCAATGGCGTCAGAATCTAAAGAAGGAGGCAAAAAGCTCGATGCTTTTTGTTTCTCCGGCGGGAGCATCATCATAGCAGGTCTCTTACTAGAAGAAGGTCCGGCAACATTATTGGCACCTCCAGAGTCGAAATTCTGGTCACGGGGTTTCCAGGCGGGGAGTTCAGCCAGCTCATCAATGGCCGGTTTGGCCTTCTTGATGAGCCAATCGACGGCCTTGCTGGGTCGGTCGTAGCCGAGCCTGTCTTGGACGTCGTAGAACTGAATGGCAGTGTGGGCGGCTAGCCGGACACGGCGGTCCCTGGGGCCTTTTGCCGTGCAGACCTTGCTGTGGCGGTCTTTCCGCCCCGTGGACCTGACAATGTGGCCGCCTTGCACCTCTACTATCTCGCCTGCCGCCGCGCTCCTCATTCCAAACCTTGACGACCTCTGCTGACGATTCTCCCCCATTCTTCCGACCAATCTTGCATGTTCCACCGTACAAGGAATATAGGGCGACCGTTTCTTGGGCTGTGGCTGTGGCGGCGAACCTTCTCCTTCTTCTTCCTCCTCCTCCTCTTCCTCTCTTTCTCCACCTCCGCCTCGATTTTGGTTCAAAAAATGATGCTTCCGATGAGGATCCAGACTCTGACCCGTTTCTGGTTCCAGCTTTTGACAACCTTTTCACAGTTTGGCTTTCCACCCTCTTCTTCTTCTTCTTCTTCAACCTCTGCAATCTGGAACTAGCCATTCAAACTTTGAGAATTCCATCCCAAGTTGCCCAGAAGAAAAAAAAAGCATCCAAGAAATCAGATTGGGTTCTTAGGCCTACCCCATTCTTTGAAATATACTTTTTACACAAATAGCTATTGATGCTTATCCCTCCCTGCTTGTGTACTGGATAGTCCAAAACTGGAAATCTGCACAGAAAGGAGCCAACAATTGAAGAGGGAAGAAAAAGAAGCAGCTGAAATAATGCTGTCAAGGTTCAAGAACCCATGTGGCAACTTTGTGCGAAATGTTCATGTCGAGAGAGGGAGAGAGAGATTTATACGGAGAATCAAAAAGGTCTTTTACGAGAGAGAGAGAGAGAGCAGAGAGAGGTGATGGTTACGTGCCGGGGGGAAGAGAAGCGTATAGTAGATGCCAGTCAGTGGAGAGGGTTGCAGTGTTAGGTCAGATTAAAGGCCTCTGTAACGTCATCACTGTGACACTACCTCTGCCCTCTCCTTGCTTCTACAACTGCAATTACCGTTAATCTTTTTAGCAATGCTAGCCGTACCCCATTTATCCTTCACCCCTTTCTCCATCATTTAATTTTATTTTATTTTTATTTATTTAATTTTTTTAGTCTTTTTCCTTTTTTGTGGTTATGGAGGGGGCGAGGGACAAATGGGGTACACCCATAGCATTTTTCTAATTTCTTTTAGTCCCTTACTTTTGGTGTACCTCTAGCATTTTTCTAATCTTTTTTCGGTTCTTCCATCAAGTGCCCATTTGAAGTTAGGAAACCTTACTCTTATTTTGAAATTATTTTATTTACAAATTAGTATATTAATAAAAAATTAAAATTATATATTAAAAAATTACGTCACAAGTACTGCAAAATAAGAGGTAAGAAAAATATTTTATTTTATCAAATATTTAATAAAAAAATACAAATAAACAAAAATTATCGAGATGAGAGAGATAAAAGTGTGTAATCTGCTCCAGGAAGAAGGGAATACGAAGTACTCCCTCCGTCCCACTCTCTTTGTCCACTTTTGACTTTTGGAACTGTTTATCTAAGCACTTTGACTCATCAAATTCTCTCAATGTGTAAGCCTAAATATAGTCATGTGTGATCTTGTTTGATTTGTCTTAACATATAGATTATTAATATATAATTTTTATAATTTTTTAATATACAAATTATAAGATAAAATGGATTAAAAAGTGCATTGGATGGTGCGCCAAAAGGTAAGTGTACAAAGAGAGTGGGACGGAGGGAATATTAAGTATGGAATATTAACTTTTTTCCAAAATTACTACAAAAAAAGCATCCCAAAACACAATCTCAGTGTTTATAAATAAAGTTTAATGATAAATAAAGAATATGTATGCTGACAAAATTGATGTGGCACATCATTTGTGTACTCGTAATACTACTTAACTACTTTTTGATACATTAGATTTTTCAACTTTGAACATACTAAACCTAAACTTTTAAGACTAGGGTCCAATAGGCTACCCGTGTGTTTGGATCGAGAGATAGAAATGAAAGGGAAATGGAAGGGAAATGGAAGGAGAAAGTAGATCTAAGTTTCTGCTGGAAATTAATCTGCGATTATTTTAGGAAAGAGGCAATCTAGGATGCTAGAGGGTGACTGATGGAAAAATATTTCATCTCGCTTCCGCGGTAACTTAAATTGAACACTTCCCGAAGAAGAATCGTAAGTGTTAGAGGTGGTGACCAAGTGGAGTACATTTTTATGTTACCAAACAAAGAATTTAGAATTATAATACATTTCTATATAAATTTCTTAATTATACCAAGCAAACTATTTGGAATTCTCTCCCTAATGCGTTTAGGGTTTATCAATCTCGTTTCTCTCCTAGTTTTCTAGGTTCTTTTTGGCACTTGTTTCGTGCTTGGTGATCTTCTCCCTATCTGACTTATAGTGCAAACTGCGCCGGAAGATGCAATGGAGAAATTGGTGTCCCGATATGATGGCTTGGTGCTTGAGGATGAAGAAGTGGGTCTTATGCCGGTAGGGGTGGAGCCTCATGCCGATAATGGTGCAGGTTTCTTACTGACAAGCTTGTCAAATTGAAATTTATGCAGCAAGTTATGGCGCCTGTTTGGCGTCCGGCCAGGGGAGTTCAAGTATCATAGATTGAACCAAATCGGTTTTCCTTTCTCTTCTTCCATAAATCTGATTTGCAACGGGTGCTAGAGGAGGGGTCGTGGTCTTTTGAGAATAGTACGCTTGTTTGCCATCATGTTGGAATTGGGGATCTACCGAGTTTGGTGGTCCTCGATACGGTGGATATGTGGGATACACATCAGACTTAGTTTTGGAACAGATTGGGAACTTCATTGGTTCCTTTATGAAGTGCGAAGATCGACAGGTAAGTGTACCATGCCGTGCTTTCTATCGTATTCGGGTTTCTATTCTGATTGCTAAACCTTTAAAGCGCCATTTGAAGTTTATTAAGTGTGACAATTCTTAAACATGGGTGAATTTTAAGTATGAAAGGCTTCACACCTTATTTTTCTTTTGTGGCTTGTTGGGGCACTCCCACAAATTTTGTCTTAGGGCGCAGGAGGCTGGTCCTTGCAGGTGGTCCAAATCTTCGTGTCGGCTTATCTCATGGACCGCGGGCGGTGGGGTAGCAGTGGCTGGTCCCTGCAGTGGTGTTTTGGGTGGGACGGTTGAGGGTAATCACTACACCACGGGGGTTGTTGGATGGGGGGGCTCGAGTGGTGTTGGATCAGGTGTCTTTGTTGCTCCTAAACGATGAAGGGAGGGGAGGATTTTGAAGATGATATGTGTGGTGGAGTACATGTCGCTGATGTCTCTATGGAAGATGTCTCAAAAAACTTGCTTATGGTGGGTTCTGGTTCCCAGACATGCCCTTCCCAATGAGTACCTTGAGATGGAACTGTCATGGCTTGGGCAATCTACGTACAGTTCGTGAGTTTGTGGACCATGTGTCCAGTAAGAAGTCTGACTTTGTTTTTATATTATAATGGAAATTAAAGTGAGTAGATAACATCCATAATGACTTCAGATTGAGATCAAGTTTGAGGGGCTTTTTTATGTCGATAGAATGGGATTGGGCAGAGGCTTGGCGTTGCTTTGGAAAAGGAATAATACTACCCAGCTCCTTAGCTACTCCAAAAATCATGTGGATATCATGGTGAGCTTGTATGGCCGACATCCTTGGCACATGACTTGCTTCAATGGCTTTCTAGAGAGGAGTGGACGCAACGGATCATGGGGACCCCCTTAGAAGCCTTGGCACACGTTCGTCTCTTACATGGGTGGTCGTGGGGGACTTTAATGATCTAGTCTTTCAACACGAGAAACGGGGCCCTATCCCACACCCTGAAGGTCTTCTCCGTGGGTTTGGGGAGGCTCTTGAAGATTGCAGCTTACTGAATGTCCCGACTATTAGGTACCCGTTCACCTGGGACTTGGGTTGATTTGCAAGGGGCTACTCAGGTTTCCAATATCCTTACCCCAACATCAGACCACTCTGCCCTCTTTCTCAATGTTTATGAGTCTGAGCGTAGGGTGGGAGGAGGGGGCTGAAGGTTTAGGTCTGAGATGGCATGGCTGCCGGATAAAGGATGTCGTGGGGTGGTGGAGAGTGCATGGCGTGATGGACGTGCAAATGGTTTGTTGAGTTACATCCACAGTTGTGGTGTGCACTTAACAAAAAAATTTGATGGTTCCTACACCTCTTAACCCCCTGTTAAACCCGCCTGCCCCTGCCCCTGCCCGGCCCAAACATACCCTCGCAACCCGCCAATTGCGGGTCGGGAATAGGGAATTTACCGGAGGTTAGAAGTAGGAACCATCAAATATTCAAACAGAGCATCGTATGAACCTCGAGTTATCTGACATTGAATCTCAATGTCATGGGAACCAAGTTGTTATAATATTACCCACAAATGAATTAATGAAATGAAACATTCAATAGCCATAGTAGTAAGTACCCAAAAAAATAGATTTGATTGAGAGAAAAACATCAACATTTTACTTTTGGGTGTTCGATAAGATCAAAAATTTCACCGAGGAATAACATTGTTACACCCAACACAACAAGAAATCTGATTGCAGCACTAACAAGTCAATAGTAGCTTGATAAGCAAAAGAAATAGATCACAACATCAGTTGATTCTAAATTATTTGATGCAATCTTTCACTGCATCTGTAACAAGTTAAAATGGCTATTTATAAAGCCACGGGTAGAGACTTAAAAAAAATAAGACTAGACAACAATTGCCCAAAATTATTCAAAACTGCAACCTCGCATTCAATTGAAAAAGGGGAGTATTAATTGTCGTTGGCAAACTTAATTCCCTTTTCAATAGAGGCCTTAAGCTCAAGCTTCAGTTTCTCTAGTCCTTCCTTTTCAAAGTCCGAGAGGGAACCCAATCCTAAGACTTCCTCTACACCATTTTTTCCAAGTCTCACCTGAAAATGAACAAGTAATATTCTTAGATTCAAATGAATACACAGAAGCCAATCAAAGGACATGCAAGTTAAATCTTTAAACAAATGAGTTATCTCTGTAGTAATAATACGGAGTAATATTCCAGCCGATTACGAACATCGTTGTCATGGCGCATGGCGACTTCATGGCGATGGCGCAAATATGGTGTCGCCACAGGACACTAGTCACACATCATTATTAATAAGATTCACACAGGTATAAGACATGAACTCCATAAATAGTCATGTTGGAAATAAAAACACAAATAAGAAGCTATTCCAAATCCAAAACATTTCAAAATGATCCAAGAAGTTAGTGTTCCCAGGCCAAAGAGCACGACATTTTACATCACAGGTTCCAGAGTCCTGTGAAACGCAAGCTGTGAAGAAGAAGAAAAAGGTTGTCGCAGGTTCCCTCCCTCCCTTCTTGAGTCGGGATAGGCAAAGAAGAAGAAGAGGATGAGCGATGGTTGCGATTGGGAAGAGTGAGTGACGGCTGAGTTTGACCAAAAGGAAAAGGGTTTTTTGGTATTGGGCCTAACTTATTAGACCTTATTGGACCTGAACTAAGCAAAAAAACTTTTAAAAAAAATGGCGACAAATGGAGATGGCACATAAATGGTTCTGCCACAGGATACTCGATCGCCACAAGCAGGTTCGTGGTGCAGGGAGGGCAAAACGCCAATGGCACATTTATGGCGCACGTCATTTGCGCCATTGATAACACTGATTACGAAGAAGAAACCAAAAGGTGCAATGAAATTTGAATAAACAGATTTTTCTTCATACGCCAATGCCGCACTTGAACATACCGTTGAAATCTTAGTAAAAGTTATGCTGACATAATTCAAGGGTTCACCAAACATTGATGCGTACAGTATTTTTTTATATTACACCTCAATCATAAACTATAAAGTTCCATGACTAGACGAACCCAGCACAACCTCTAAAGAAAAGGGTTGAAGTTCATTCATAGGGGGGTGAGGGCACAAGCAAGCAAGCAAGACAACAATAGCCAGTGAAATCCCACAAGGTAGAGGCTGTTCACAAAAGACCACAAGCAAGGCCACAACCAAGCATTCATTATAAATATTAAATTAATCCCTTCGTGGCTCTGTCCCCAAAAAAAACTAATTTCAGCCACTTACAACAATACCCAGTGAAATCCCACAAGGTAGAGGCTGTTCACGAAAGACCACAAGCAAGGCCACAACCAAGCATTCATTATAAATATTAAATTAATCCCTCTGTGAGTCTGTCCCAAAAATAACTAATTTCAGCCACTTATTTGTCTCAGAGAAAAGAGACTACATTTATCGAGTAAAGCTAATATGCATGTGTGTTGCCAGGAATTTTAAATAAATGTTGCAGAGATTTACATATGACAAATTTAGCAAAACCAACAAGCACTGGTCAAACATTGGTACCTTACCAAAAGTTAAACATTGGTCAAACATGACTCCTTTGGAAAAGAGGAATTCAATAGTTATTAGAGTTTAATACCTTTGACGCAAAGAAAGGAAGCTCGGTGACAGTTGACTGCACAAAAGAACATTCAATAACATCAGGAACTCCATTCAGTCCTTTCAAGCAAGCATCTGCAAATATGGCCCCAGCATATCTGCAAGGGTCAAAAAATAAGGATTAGATGGAAAGTGATGAGCATATCAATGATAACCCAGCATAGAAAGTTGGCACTTGACAGATGGAAAAACTAACTGTGACAACTGAAAACCAAATACTTGCTTTTCGACCACGTTGCATACGTACTTATATGAATACGGGTACGGATATGGAAAGTTTGTAATGCTTTTTAATTATAAAAAACAAAGAAAGAAAATTTTCATTACGATAAATTTTAGAACACGCAAACTCTGATAAAAATCGAGCCTAAATTGTTCTACATATACTTACAGAACTTAAATCAAATCAGAAGCTAAAAGATCCTCCATTGTTAGGAAACTGTCACTGCTGAATACATGAATGAAGATTGGGTATTCATTGGAATCAAGTTGTGCTAAAAGGTGAGAGTGTGGGAAATAGAGTAAGAAAAAAAAGGGTGTAAAATTTGTGGAACAGAGTATTGCTAAAAGGTCAGAGTGTGCGATTGAGTGGAAAAATAAAAGATAAGAGAAAGGGGAGGGGCGCAGGAAATAGAATCAAGGAAAAATAGAAAAATTCACCTCAAAATTAAGTTATTTTAAATAAACCTCATACACAAACGGTATTTAGTTGAACCCAATTTTTCAAAAATTAAAATTAAGCTTGAAAATAAATAAAGTTTGAGCAAGTGTACCCCAACACCAAAAGTACATGGTACAGGTTCATTTGCAAAAATAGAGTGCCTGTGCCTCATAGCTTTTCTGTGTATATGAATATAATTCGATTTATCAAAATCATTCATAATTCTTTAAAATAATAGAGACTGCATGACATGAGAGGGAGAGAAGGAAGCACAGATGCCAGACCTTTTTCCTAAGCAAAGGTTATAAGATATTTAGTACAGGCTATTGCCGAGACTCATTAGTAATTCTCTGACAATTGAAATCTAGATAATCAAAGAACTTCTTAGACAGGGACACAATGAGTTTAAGCTTACGCCATCGAGAGTGTTGCAGAACCCTTCCCGGCCTTAGCTTCCACAACTTCGGTACCTCCCTCTTGTGTTCTTTTTGTAAGAGCAACGATCTCATCATCAGATAAGTTGGATTTTGGTGTAGCCTATAGTGTTACATGTAAATAACTCAATATGCTAACATTCAAAGTGTGAACATTATTTAGTTCGTGTAAAAGAACTATGCAAGAACAAAAAAATAGTTTACTTGAGAAAACAATGGTAGGATTGTTATGCCTGCATGCCCACCAATGACAGGTACAGTGACCTCTGAAAATGGGATCAGAAGAGTAAGATATTCAATGGGTTTTCTGATAAGCCCCAAAAGAACTGTGAGTGTAGAAATAATTTCTTCGAAATTTAACATTGAATAAACTGAACTGTTGCTGATATACACATTCATTAACAGGCATACCTGCAACATTAGCATTACATTTTCCAGCGTAGAAAGTCTTGGCACGGACCACATCAAGTGTTGTGACACCAAAGAGCTTGTTTTCATTATAAGTCCCAGCCTTTTTAAAGACCTCAGCAGCAATTGGTACAGTGGAGTTCACAGGGTTGCTAATCATATTGACAAGTGCCTTTTATATTGGGTGATGACAGAACTGGAGTTAGCTCAAAAAATCAATTCAAATCAATTCTGACTAAAAATACATAAAAGGGCACAGTGATACTAACGTGTGGGCAATACTTGGCAATGGCAGAGCTGAGAGATTTTACAATGCCAGCATTGATGTTGAAGAGATCATCACGGGTCATCCCGGGCTTTCGTGGAACACCAGCAGGAATAATGACAACATCAGACCCCTCCAATGCTTTGCCAAGGTTTTCCTCTCCCATAAAGCCAACCACCTATACGTGAGGGACAAATTATCCACGCAAACTAGTTAGTGAAAATAGATATTTTCAGAAGAAAAACAAGAGATTCGATGTGATCTGAAGTAATCAACAAGATCAAACAAACGAATATCCAGGACATGAATGTTGCGTCACTTTTAAAGTAAGTTCCAAACTTTCAATCAGGAAATCCCAGAAATGAACGTGATATGGCAATAAAGATTTGAAGAGTCGAGCAGATAGTCAAATGGTTCAAATACGAACAATTTAATCAACGCCCAATGACTGTAATTGAAGTGACACATAGGAGAAATCAGATAATCACTATAAGTCAACAAGGGTACTCAAAAGTAACAGAGATCATGAAAAACTATAGACGAATTCATGGAGAACTTGGATAATCCGGGAAGAAACCCCTACAGTTAAATCCAAAGGACGCCAACAATAAGGAATGAAAAAATATGTTCATAGTAGTAACGTATTAGAATAATAATCCATGAAGTGATACCTCAGATCTGGTGTTGATGTGGCTGACATCAGCAGCAACGCCCGGTGTCCCGGCGATATCATAAAGAGAGAGGTGAGAGACGAGAGGATTGAGTTTCATGAGCAGCGACAGCGGTTGGCCGATCCCGCCGGCGGCTCCCAAAATGGCAACTTTACGTTCCGGGGCGGATTCTGAGGCGAATCCGCGTCGCGAGACGCGAGAAACATCGGAAACTACACCTCTCAAAAGAGATCTCATCGTTGTTGCTCTCATTTCCGAATCTGAGGATGTTAGGCGGAAATGGAGAAGATAGGGTTTGAGGATATTCTTCGCTAGAATAAAGGTCCTCGGGGAAGAACCGAAGAAAAGGTTTAGGCTTAGCAGTGTCCTAAATTTTTAGTGGTGGCGGATGCAAAGATCGTGAATTACGAGGAAATAACAGAGCCAAAATGAATTTGAGGGTAAGGTTCCACGGGTAGTTCAATCAGGATTCTGACAGATTTTTTGAATTCTGAAATTCAATAGGTATTCAAATTAGATTTTAAAAATTTATTTAAAATCTAGATGTGTTCAATTCATATTTTTACAAATCCTTCTAAATATGATGATATTCAAAAATTGATAGATTTTTAAAGATTTCTAATAATATAGATTTTGATTGTTTTTCATGCCTTGCTTATAAATACAAATCCAGGTTTCAGATCCGACCAATAGCCCAGGAATTTTGCAGACTCCTCTTCTTCATGCAACTAAAAGGCTTCTTCGATCTGTACAGCGGCCGAACTTCCTAAAATCTTATCCGTGTGCGGTCCAGCGATACAGAAGGCTTCTTCGATCAGCCAGCGATGCCATGCGGTCATTTGAGAGCTCAAATTCAACATATACTCGTGTAGATGATTATAGATTTTGCGACGTGAGGTCAACGGAGAGGCCGGATACGGTCGTTTCTCATCCCAATGGGAATGAGGCGGTTAAGGAGGATGTGGATCGGCCCCTAAAGAGGCTGAGGGAGGTCAGCCGGTGCACCGGGAATGGATGTAGGCGGAAAATCGGGTTGATCGAATTGAAGAAAGAGGAGAAAGAAGAAGGAAGGAGGAGGGGAGAAGAAGAGAAAGAAAAAGAAAGAAAGAAGAAAAAAGAAAGAATGGAGGAGAGAAGTGGAAGAAGGAAGAGAAGAAAGAAAAAGTAAGAAAGAAGGAAAAAGGAGAAGAGAGAGGGACGTAGGAGAGAAGAGGAAGAGAACAGGAAGAAAAGCAATTGAGCAAACTTGAGAAATTGAGAAAGAAAGAAGAATAAAAAAATAATCATGTATCATAAAGAATCATACAAAATCCTATTGAAAAATACATTAAAATCTATCTAACTGTACATAAATTTAAAATAATTCTTTAAATTTACATAATCTATGGATTCTAAACAACATATCAAAATATTTTATAATCCAAATTGAACACACCCCCCTTAGACTCGTACTCGTATGTTGCACGGCCAAATTATTTACTAAATCATCGCGAAAAAATTTCGATGAAGGAAAATGAAAAAAATACATAAATATAAGATAATATAATAAAATCTTTGAGAAAGGGAAATATACATTAATACTCAATGTGGATGAGAAGTGTTATAAGTTTTGGAAAACTTCCTTATAAACTCCATTTGTAGTTTAGTTTGACGATTCAAAGTCTTCATTAGAAATCAAGATTTTTAACCCTTTGTGATTTGTGACACGTGATATTGCCACATAAAGCTTGTAACGCCCTGCAACCCAGTCTATTAGAATTGGTTAATTTAATTAATTAATTACTAACTCGGACCGGGGTTGGGAAAATAAATCCTTAGAAAAAATTATTTGACCATGTCATAATATTCGTCTTGACTGTCTGATTCTAGAAACACAGACGGATCTCAATTCGGACTCATTCGAGAGGAAAACCACGTACTGTTCAGGTCAGATTTTACATAAAAGAATGGAATTTAGGGGGAGTAACTCCCCATTAAATCCCTTCTCACGCCACACACTAACACACACATTTACTTCCCCTTTAACTCCCCATCATTCCTCATTAAACTTCCCTTTAATATAAACCTTCCTCTCCCCTCCATCTTCCCTTCATCATTTGTAACCCCCATCCCTTTACACACTCTCTCTCTCTCATTTCCCCTGTTCAGCCAAGGCAGCAAGTAGACAAGGAGAGGATTCCAGAGAGAAGTTCACACGAGAAGCCGTTCTTTGTTCGTCGTCCACCGTTCGTCCGTTCGTTAGACATTCGTTCGTTTATCCGTTTCCGTATCGTCAACCCCTGCGCTAGAGGTGAGTACGTTGCCCTCTAACTTTAGAATTCATAGTATAATCATATCGTTATATTCATAGGATTACCCGGCTAAACTTACGTGTATCCACGTCATCATGACTCTTCGTTATTTAGACCCTTCGATTACGCATTTGATGATATAAACGTTTGAAACTTTGTAAGTTCACTGATTACTTAATACGAAAACATAAACGTTCATCTCAAACAACTTCCAACGTATAGACGAAAACCAAACAGACAAAATAGGAATCAGGGTGCCTTAATAATCGATTTACAGAACATGATAATTGATTATCAGGTCACACTGAACTCCTTGGTTGGTTTAGCAAAGCGTGATAATCGATTATCACATATGAGATAATCGACTATCAGGCCCTGTGGATTCTTGAGTCAGAGTTTGGTTTCACTGATAATCAATTATCAAAGAGCAATAATCAATTATCAGGCCTCTATGAACTTGGGTTTCCTGGACAGAATCATCTAACAATCGATTGTCAAGATGAGACAATTGATAATCTTGGCCTGCGGAACTTGGGAACAGAAGCTGCACAGCATGATAATCGATTATCAACAATGGTTATCGATTATCAGCCAGTTCTGAACCCATGTCCGCCATGTTGAACAAGTTGTTTTCATATGGAATCAAACATATTTTGTTGGGAAACGAGGCTTGGATAACGCAGCGGAAAACAAAAATTTATAGTCCAAAACTCGATTCCACCCAAGAACAACTTACGTAAATTACTAGCTATAGTAAGAAATTTACCTTAACGGTGAAAACGAAGAACGGAGGAACGGTCGGGGATGGTTTTGAGGAGATGAACGTAGCGCCAAACGTATGAAGCCTCCAACGTATCCACACGAACTTGCTCCGAAGTCCTAGGTTAAACTTGTGCTAGCAAGTTTAATTTAGGATAGTAAAAACTATAATAATACTACTTTGGGAGTAATA